GAAATATTTCATCTTTCCTAAAAACTCCCAAGAGTATACAGTAGTTGTAAATGACAAAGAAATTCTCATATTTTCTAGCAGTGTCTACAATGGAATATCAATCTATTGAATATAGAAATAGAAATTCAATCGTAAAATTCACACAGCAAACTATACTTTGAATGGTAAATTCCCAGTTTGAGGAATACACATATCTATAATTTCAATGTTACTAGAATGCTGCTGAAATAGTGGTCATAATATTTTTTATCACAAACGAATAAAATACCGCACTGAATGATAAGTGCATTGAATTTAAGGGATTCCCATACGCATAACCTGTATCTTAGCTACAAAACCCGTATCTTACACCAACATGCTTCAATAAATCAAAGTTAATACTGTATATCTGTGGGCTATTACATGTTGATATGATACTCATAATTCTATGGCTTTCCTTATCTTGTGCCTCAAACCAGAAGCATTTGACCAACGGCTGTCTGATATAATGTTATTTTTAAAGAACCAAAGGACATTATTGGATTCTATCTGACTGCAAAGGCCATTGGTCTGACCTCTACGACCTCTGGTGACCTTTGTTTTAGATAAATGGCCTACTGTTGATTGACAGCTATGCTGGATGAGATTAAAATCAATCATGAGGAATGTCTGGACTTTTGTTCTCGTTTCTGATTAGATTCAGCCAGAATGTCCTTTAGGTTGTTTCAAAACACACAAAACTGGAGGATTTTGACTTAGTTACATTTACAAAAAGTTATTTCAGCGCTGTAATAACTGGATTTCCAATTTTTGGTTATCTTTTTAATGTAGTTTATAAGTTGTATCAACGGTCCCATAGCATGCTGATACATGTATCTGTGTGGCAAAAATGTGATGTTGCTGACAGAAAATGGTTGTTTCGTTGTTTTGTATCATATAGGCTGGTTCTAGCTACTAAGTATTTATTAGTCGTTCCAAAAAAATAAAACTCTATTTCAAGCATTTGAAGTATAAAATGATGACAAAAATGAAGAAATGGCAGTCAATATTCCATAGATTTTCTCATACAGAATACTTCTTGTTTTTCCGCGTGCCTGCGAAGCTGGTGTGTTGTGCCGAAGGGCGGTTATACCGGCTATACAGATAAAGAAGCTAGTGTGTTACGCTGAAGGGCGGTTATACTTAAACCAGCTATACAGATTCAGATTGAATTCAACCTAAAATTACAATACATGTATTTTGCTTTGATTTTTAGAGCATAGAATCCTGAAAGTGTGCTGTCTAGATTCAAAATGTAATACAAAGTGTTGACTTTCTGAAAGCTAAATAAATATACTGAAACTTTCTGCACCAAAAATACAATCTAGTTTTCCTCATTTTTAGTACATATAAAAGGGAAACCAGTGCCTGGTGGTGCAAATATCATTACTACATTGTATTGATTCAACTTTGATATATCGCGTACTTCCGTATGTGGTGTGAACAAAACGGCTGAAAACAAAAGCTGTTTCCTGTTGCTACTGATGTTTATGAAGAGCCTGTGACACAGCTATATATAACATGACATTGTTCTGTCTTCCTGTATTTTGTATCCAGTTTTTTTAAATTTTGCCAAGCTGTAATTTTAGGTGGTAAGATGCTATACTATTTTTGTGTGAGTCTCTTTAATTTAGTTCTTTCTGCAATTTGCGCAATTTTTAATGCTGCCAAAAACTATAATTAATAGTATAAAAAGATACAAGCAATCAGAAAACTGTTACTTTATAACTGTTACAGTTATATTTTGTTTGATATTATGTGATGTACTGTAGTTGCAAAGGGTACCAAAAAGAAGTGGAAACTCAAAGCAAGAATTTTACTAAATTGTATATGAATTTGGTTAAGCCTTCAGTCTAACCAAATATACTTTGTACGGCCACACCAATTTAATTTGTTGGTTCTCAGATTTTTTCAGAAAAAATATGAAGCGACAGGGCGAAAAAAATAAAAATAAAAACAGATCTAGGCATCCTATTATAGGCTTAAATGCTATGGAATGAGCCATGAAGTCAACACAAAAGGCTGGGTTAAACTTTAAACATTGAATTTTGAACTTTTAATCAAACCACTGCAATGATAGATGGGAAAACTGTAACAACTAGGATTAGGAAGAAAAGGACTTTCCTCAACTGTTGGGGGCAAAACATGAGCTATTTTTCAGTTGATTCAGGACCAGAATCTTCTTTTTTTTTTTGCAAATCAGAAAAAAATGAAGAGGCAAATCCGAGAACCAACAAATTAAATTGGTGTGGCCTACAGTAAAAAAATAAACACCCCTATCATCTTCACAGTAGAGATTACCCAAATTATACATGTATGTACAATGATTTTTAAGCTAACAAGTCTTTATATAGAATTCTGAGCGTTTTCACTGAAACATGCCTTAAATTTTAGTTTTAATTCGACTAGAGGTTTATAAGATCGTATCAATGAGATATGCAGACTTTTATGGCGGGTGATAAACATGTAATGCCCAAGTTGTCGTAAACGCTACATTTATGTACATGTATATTTCTTAGACTATCGTATATTGAGGACAAAGATATTCGGACTATGATTCTCAAACAAAATGTAGCTTGTGATGTGGGCATTTTCCATATCCAGATGACAACACATTGATGTAACATGCATTGTATGTATGAGTCAGTATGACAGATGTATTTTTGTAATACGACAGGTTGCCATAAAATAATCAACATTTTCTTCCATCCCCCCAACTAAGGGATCAGCTGATTAACCAGTAGAGGCTCTAAAAGGGTCTGACAGAATCCTTAATGTATCACAATATCATTTTCCTAGCAACTGCTCTAAAAATACAACATATTCTTGCTAGCCGATAATTTCTATTTTCCGGTACCCTCATTTCCTCTTCTAAGTTTGAATTTCACCGTGGAATATCTAACGTGGTATTAGGTTACTTTACAACCCCTAAGGGACCCTCACACGTGCGCGAAATGCACTCCATGTTTGGTAAAAGCGGGTGCGGTGATGGATGGCATTATTATACATGCAGACCTGGAGGACCTAATTATGCAATCATAAGATTACTGCAGTCTGTTGTCATTTGGCTGAGGTATTATAGTGGTATTTGTGGGGAGGGGGGCTTATAGGGGCAAAAGGACACAGACAAGTTATAACAATGTGTGAAATTATAAATATCTACAATATTAATAATGTTATGAGAAAAGTAACATTGCTAAAAGCTATTTGTTGATGAAAAATATATTTGCTTGCATTTACCGTAAATGCTATGGAAAAGCATTATCTCTAATATTTGTTATATGGCATGGCTAAAAAATCTATGAAATCGAATGAAACCGTTGTTGACAAAAATATTTGTTTGCTTGCAATGACAGTAGCTGCTATGAAATGACATGACTTAAAGAAATAAAAGTTATATTAAAATCATATGCCTATCCTGCTAAAATAATTTTTGGAGTAAAACATTTTGTTGGTTTTCTGTATGCCATTAATATTAATTTTACTGAAAGGAGGTTGTAAAATTTAAGTTGACCATCTTATTCAGAGGTTGCCTAGTTGTGAAAATTCTGACTTGGAAATACTAGTGAATACAAATTACTGTCATTATTGTAAAAGAAAACATATCAGTATCAATTTCATCTTAAGGTTCTTAACAGTGGTAATCTGTCTGGCATGGTTTTCGATCAATGATCATTTTCACAAAACCCTGAATTTAAATCAGTAAAATATATGTTCCTTCTTTTGTAAGATATGAGCACCACAATATATTCTTTTAAATATTTCTTTTTTATTTTATTTTGCCTTCCTAAAATTCCCTTTTCTTTGAAATTTTGAGCAAGGAGAAATCAAATTTGAACAAAAACACCAACAAAAACACCAACAACTTGTAAACTGTCCTTGAAAACGCCAAATGCCTTCAGGTTATTTTGGGTGTTCCTGTACTGGAATTTGGTTTATTGTGAAACAGATCGTATGCAGTGTGAAATCTCAGCATGGCTATTGTTTGAAAACAAAAGCTTCGGGACAATAGACTTCTGCTGTAAACAACAGATAAACAGACAACATCTGTCAAAATGTGCGACAAACAATCTGCAAAAGAATATCTTAGATATTTGTACTGCAAAAATATTGATTATTGTATCATATCATGAGTCTAGTTCCTAGATTTCAAATCCTTGAATTTTTTTTTCACATTTCTCAAACCATTGATAAAAAAACTGTTCAATTCTTCTTGTAATGCCTAAAATTATTTGACTGAATCACAAAAAAAATCAATACATATCAAAGAACAGGACTTTCACCCAAGAGAAATAAAGGAGGTCATGTTATTTTTCTATCTATGAAATCTACACATCCAAACACAATCGCACAAAAATCTGCATATTTGGGGGTGAATTTTCTCAACATTTCAGACAAATGTCAAAGATTTCTCTGATCAAATTAAGTCTAAAAGTCCATTTCTGTATGTTTCTTCCCTGTCCACGTTATTTGATTAACTCCACTCGAAGGATTAGACACTTGTGCAGCTAATCACTGAACTAATCCGCTCCAGATTACACATAAATAAAACCGCCATGTTTATCCTCCAATCAAGTGTCTGTAGCCAGTCTCTGGTCTTCATTTTGACAACCAAACGACTTTCCGGGCCGAAAAAAGGGCCGTCATTAAACGGAAAATTAAAGAAAACGGTGCTAAAATCTTCAGTTCCAGCCCCGCTGCCAAAATCAATTAGATTTATTGTTGAATTTGAGTGCAAGCTTTCCATCCAGTTTTTTTTTGTACAACACAAATTATTTACAGTTTGGCAAACATATATCATTTTGCATCGTGAAAAAAAGGGTTATACGGTAAATATATGATGAGAATTTTCTACAAATGTTTAGGATCATCACAAAGAACGAAAGGATAATACAGGGGAAAGAAAAAGCACGAACGATATATTTTATAACAACTTGTTGCCCCCCTCCCCCCTTTGAGGCCCACCCCACCCGAAAACTCACCTCTTCCAAGACGGACACTGTGCTCTTCATCAGCGGCATTTTGCAGACGAAGTTGGAGGTTGTTGGGGAGGAATAGTCGTCCCGAGTCTCCTCCAGAAACTCGGCCACGCTGATCTGCTCCGGCATGGCGAAAATTTGGGGAAAAATCAACCAAAATCGGGTGAATTAAACATGGATGCGCCCTGGATTGAAACCGGAAGTGGAGCCGACTGTGCAGGAAGTACCGGCGAAAGTAGTATAGGAAGAGCTGTGTGAGGGCTTTGCATCAGGAGGCTGGTGCAATGACATTCGGTTGTAATTGTATTTGTAGCGTGCTTAATTAATTTTCATACTTAGGAATTTGGTCTTTCAGTGACATTTGTTCTTGCCTTTCGGGAAAATTCTGCCTGTATTTTTATTGTGTCCATTATTTCCATATATATATATGTAATGTAACGTTGTTAACTTAATGTGAACGTTAAACAACAAGTCAGGTTATGCCTACTTATTTTTATGGGCTTTATTTTAAGTCACCCTAGCCAAACCTTTGTCTGAAAATAATTTCCTATTTCAGTGTGTGATGTCATAGATATCAAAAATAATATTTATAGGTTGAATGCAGTCCTGTTAAAATCTTCCAGGTGGCATAACTGCACATGGCCTTTGTCAAATACCAACTATGGACTGTATCTCCAAGCAGATCCTAGGGTGGAAAAAGACAGTATCAAATTGGCCTGGCAGTACCAGTACCCATTGACCAGAGAGGGTCCAATCCTTGGATATTGGACCACCCGTGGGCCACTGTCTTTTGCCACCCTAGGATCTGCTTGGATATTATGTACTGGTGACACATGTACATGTACCTTTCTTCTTTAGACTCTCTAAATTTTCCATTTCAAAGTAATGAAAAGGAATAAACAACAAAACAAATGATCTTCAATATGGTATGTTTTAATGGAATGAACATAAGCAACAATATAAAAAATTCCTTAATAGGTAAAACAACTAAACTGAACTCTAATTTATAGTAGTAAACAAAAAAACTATATCTACTTTCTTGGACCTAAAGTTTACGGTCTACTCTACAAACCAACTTATGATTAAGTACATTTCTACTTTGCTAATATCCAACAAGTCTATGATCTCTTCTTCTCTGTCCTCTATTTTAAAAAGTCTACCTCTCGTGGCCAGTTTACCAGACCTATTGTAGGTCTTGTCTATTATCAATAATGATCAAAACAGATCTAGACTTTTGAGTAAAAGTCCTTACATGTTGACAATAAATAACTGAAGTATTAAATGTCCTACTGACTTCATGTTTTTTTTTTTTATACACTTAATATAAACTGCTGTGTTTATGTGTTACATGTGTTCATGTAAGTGCCTGTTACAATGTAAAAAAGTACAGTACATGTATATCGTTTTGCAAAACCTTAGATTTTGCTGAAATATTGATGGGCAACCTAAAAAAGTATTTCGAAGCCCTGAAGTACAATACATGGTCTTTCTACTCTCTTCTTTTCTAGAATGAAACAGGCAGGACTGAGTCTAGAAGGGCATGTCTCTGTTCCGAGGTTCTTTCCTTCCTGCTTGTCTGTTCTTCTTGTCGATTTTTCTCCTCATCTCCACATCATCTTCCAAGTCCTGCTCACTGATGGGGTCTGTGTTCGCACAGGCACTGACTGGACATCTGTGGTGACAAAAACAAGCATGGATAAAAAGACTCTTTTTATGCAACCAAGTTAAACTCAGCCAATGTTTTGGTAACCGTCTGTCACCTTCCTCAGAGCAAATCTGACTGGTTCACATTTTACAGTACAGGTTGTCATTGCTACAGATGCTTTCCCAAACGCATCTATAGTAGTATTTATATACTTTACATACTAATATATATATTATACACAGTTACAGGGAACAGTAACCTTTCATTCAGTGATTTTCTAGTCTGTGTAACGTAAAACAAAAAAATATTCTGGATGAGGAAATCTGTCAGATATTGACATTTACTGCCATTTCTTCAAGCACATGTTCGTCCTCATTTCATAAGTTGTACTTAAAGTGTTTGAAGTAGCCCCAAAACAAGTTACGTGAGGAGTCCCTTTATTTTCTGGTACCACCAATTAATAGCCACAACTAACCTCTAATACAAAACAAGCAACCGTTTTCTATCGGCAATATTGCATTTTGGCCTCATACCAGCCTCATACATATCAAAATACTGCATTAAAAAAAAAAGGGACCAGCAATATGGACTTTGAAAATAAATATTTGGTGCCCAGAAATCGCTTTGGGTGTCTTTAAGATATGATGATCACAAACAAGATTGTCTGCAAGACAACCATGTCCTTACTTGACCCCTCTCTTCCTGCGGATGTGCTGCAGGATGGGACCCTTGTCGTACACGTGACCGCACTTCTTGTTCCTCACTGGTTCCTTAAACTCCTGCTGGGTCAAAGGGCACTTCAGGTTGACCTCTGCCTGGGTCATCTCAATCTCATCATCATCATCGCCTCCCGTTTGGGACCCTCCGGGCTGAGGAGACGGCTCCGATTCTTCTTCACCTACAAATTAAAACAACAAATCAAAGATTTCACTCAGAGTTGTGAATTTTTTGTTTCGTTGCATCCATGAAAATGGAGGTATTGTTTTGTCCTGTGTTTATTTTGCTCTGATTCTTCTTCACCTACAAGTTAAACAAGAAATCAAAGATTTCACCTCTCCGTGAAGAACTCAGAGTTGCTGTGAATTTTTTGTTTTGTTTAATGTGTTTCTTCTTTACCTACAAGTTAGACAAGAAATTGAAGATTTCCTACCGCGGTTTTAAAAGTACAAACATGCCCAAGCAACCACCTTTACAAGTCATCCATTTGGCCATATTGACCGTTTTTTTCTTGATCACAATTTCCCCCCATAGTTGTAAGAATTAAGGATCGTGCCTATGCTGTCCAATGCAACCACAACTGGCACTACTTGGGACCTATGTTGACTGTGTCATTTTCAATCATCAGACGTAAAACATTTTTTTGATGGTAGCTAGTGAGAAATGGTGATGGGATAGGCCAGTCTGCCATTGATTTCAACAGCATGGGGAAGAATACCAGACCCTTACTGTGGTCATGTCATGACTCGATGCGCGACTTGTACCATGGAAAGTTGTCCTTCTGTACCAAAATACTTGTGAAAACCTGGAAGACTGCTTGACAAAGCGGCTAAAAGTCATCAGATCCCGACATTAAGACTCACATAACATGGAGAAACTAACATTAAAACGAATGGAGTGTGAGTGAGCATAACAGCATACCCTTGAGTTCCCTGAGTTTGTCGTGTAGCGAGGTGATCATGTGGTGCTGTAGCAGCTGTTCCCTGCTGTTTCCCTGCTGTTCAGCCTCCAGCTGTTCACTCAGAGCCTTCTCCACAGCTACATGGTCGGATAAGTCACCACTTTTCACCTGAAACAACAACAGACGTTAGGAACTAAGGCCCCATCTTTCTCCACCTCAAACAACACAAAATACGCTAATAACTCACTGTCAGCGTTCAAAATCACAGCGTTGGGATCCCCTACCTCAACCTAGCTGGCGTTCTTCCCATTATCAGACTGATTTTTTTAGCGATAAATGTAAACTCCAGGTAAAGGTAGTCCTGTAGCCTTTTTAAGACCATAGGGGCAATGGGTTGTTAGTCCACAGTGTCTAAGGGCACGGTATTGGAAGGTGGAGCCCATCCCTCTCCTTCCACTGTCTTTTACCTCCTCAATCAAAGCCAGGTACCCATTTTACACCTGGTATAATGAGGACAGTCATATGAAGTACCTTTCCGAGGGCAAAAGATCGGTGGCATCGGGCAGGATTCGAACCTGGGACCCCTTGGATCTGAGCCATACACCTTACCTCTACACCACACAAGCCTCAATTTGAAGCAATAGGAAACAATAAGAGGTAAATCATGATCATCAAGGACATCAGATGCCACCTTGGGAAGCCATGTGGAGGCCAGGCAAAGTCTGAGCAGTCTGACCTGTTGTTTGACGGTCTCCACGGCTTGTACAAACTGTTTCAGATCTCGCTCCATCGCGGCGTACTCCACCATCACGTCCTCCACCTGCTGCACCTGATCCTCATTGGCTGCGGAGGAAACAGAAACACAATGTATTTTTAACATATTAACAAATTTTTGAGCTGTTTGAGATACAGTAACTCTAAAATTTTTAGTAAAAATAAAAACTATGCAGGAGATACAGTTTAATAGATATACAGCAATGCATTATACTGGGGGACGTGGCATAATTTGAAAATCTCTTTAGAGTCAATTAGACCAAGGAGGTATTTAACCTTCTTGATTAGGTTTTTTCTGGGCGGGGGGGGGGATTTTAGACCAGGCCGATTTATTTATTTATTTATTTCATCTCAAGACGGCTGGGTAGCCCCAATTCAGCTTGAATCAGCTGTTTTCCAAGGGGGCACAGCAAAATTACACAGGACATAGTAACGTACAGTAAGACAACATACAGTAAAACATAAAGGTCCGATTCGTCAAAACAGAGTCGTAGTCCAATACTCAAAGTCCTAGCCGTTGAATAAAGTTTTCACAGGGGTGGCGTTAGCTTTCGAGCTTTCCAAAGGTCAAGTCTAGTGTGGTTTTTACACATCGTGTATAATTTTACAAGCGATCGCTGTTTTTGTTTACATCATACATATGCAGATTATTTGTAGACATATGCAAAAAATTATTTTGGTAGGCAAATCAACCGTCAGCCGCTTTTTCCTAACTTCTCGTATTCTAGTTATAAAAACAGACAAATAAACAAACAAACCTTTCATTTCCTGCACGTCCAGAGCGACTTCGGAGGCGAACTCCATCCCCGTCAGGAAATATTTGGAACATTTCTTCAGATTCTCCAGCGAAAGGTCCAGGTTACGGAAGTGTGCCGCGCTCACCGCCATCTTGGCAAAACTTTACGTTTGTTTTTTTGTCCGATATCTTCTTCTTCGACGCACTTCCAGGCAACTTGACGATGCTTCAGAAAGTTGAGAACCTTAGAAAGATAAGTCCACCCTCAAGACACTCGAAATTTTCACAGAAAACGGTGTAAATTCAAGATATTCCTAGCCTGTGACTCGCAAAGCCAAGCACTGAATTTCGCGGGAAAAAATGGCCGCATCCCGCGAGATCGTACGAGATTAGTTGTCAAAATTTCCGCTAGGGGGCGCTCGCGAGCGGTCTTATTTTTGGTGCCAGTGGTGGTCTAAAAGCGTCACCTTTTATCGAGGTGCAGTACTGCAGTTTGACCGACGAAAATCCGATGTAATACCGACGAATTACCTACAGCCCACTGCAGTTTAATTGTTACCCCTGAATAGGTGACGTGAGGCAACGTTATTCTCTGAATAATGTACTTCATTGTATTGTAGTACTTATCTTGGAAAGAGGACTCGGATAAATGTTCTTACTTCATGTTTTACGTTCAATTAGTCGCTGTTTCTGCGTCTTCTTGTCGGAAAATACATTTTGTATTTCGCGGGTAAAATGTCCACTTCTCGCGTGTCCATATCTCGCGAGAACCAACGAGATCAGCGACACTGCACCTGAGATTTGAAACGCTAGGTGGCGCTGGGAGACCGTGCAGTGGCCAGTATGATGTACATGTACTAGTATCAGGGATATTTTCTTCTTTTATTGCGTATTTGGAGGTTGATGGAGTTTTATTTCTGTTTTACTAGTTAGATAACAATTTATCGTGCACCGTTAGGCGTCTTTCTGAGTTAAACATGCCTGTATTCGGTTTATAACGTTACTAATAGGGTAATCCATATGACACGTTTAAGCTGCAGTACCACACCTCGATAAAAGGTGGCGCTTTCAGACCACCGCTGGCACCAAAAATTAGACCGCTCGCGAGCGCCTCCTTGCGGCTGTTTATGACAGCTAATCTCGTAGACACAATGTCACTTTTCTGCATGGAAGTATAAACATTCCTGACTTGCTACCTTTGATTAAAACTGGTTTAATCCTGGCTTTTTACAAAGACTTACTGCCATGCTTAGCTTTATCTTCGATTTCCTTTTTTTAATCACTATTAGAAAGTAAAAACAACCAGTAACACGTGACAAGATCATTCTTTTTTCATGTTTTATTCCACGCCACCAAACCTTGCACAGGTCAAGTTTCACAACTGCTCACTGCATTCATCCATTGCAAATGTACAATTTTCCTGTCAACATTTTCAATGTACAGTGGCTCGTATAAAAGAAAAATAACCTTTACATAAAATTCACATTTTTACACAAAGCTGCCACTTAAACCTACAAACCTCGTGTTCAATAAACCCCCGTTTCAATTGGTACAGTCCATTTCTTGCACAGAAACAATATCTTTTTAGGTCATACCACTATTTCTGAGGGGCTGGTACCCTATATGACTTATTGAGTGATAAAGAACGCATTGATTGGCATATTTATACCCATAAAGGTCTTCTGACAGTCACAAACAAAGTGTTTGGCACAGAAAACGTAAAAGTTTGAATGTTTTGTACATTTGCATGGAGGTACTTGTATTTTCACATTTACATTCAGGATAGAGAGACAGGATTTTATACGGAGTAGGAAATGTGTGACCAGACTATTTCACCGGGTTTCCTCCTGGTATGTTTGTGACAAAATACATGCTTTTGAAGCTTCCGACAATTCTGCAACATTACCAGAACTGGAGAAGACAACCATTTTTTTTCTTGGTCAAATTTTCTTTAGGACCTTATTGCTAGTTGATCCATGGAGGTAGTTTGAACATGACCAAAACTGGTCGAAAAATGACTTTTTTTCTGTTAAAACACTGGACGGTTCACCGGTGAAAAAGTCCTTAAAACACGCTGTACATCATAAGTCACACACTTACATCACTGTACAATTTTGCATTAGGAGCAGCAGGCTGAACTGCTTGCTAGCCAGCCGTGGTCGGCCCTTCCCTGTTCAACTGGGTAGGGCAGGGATGGCGACTAGCAGACACTGCAGCTGGATAGCACTTCACAGTCAAGTGGCATTTGTTTCACATGGCGAAACTGCTGGATTGCACAGTGTGGTTCAGAGGTATTCAATGGACAACTTCCTTTCTGGGTATGAACTTTAAGTGTGATGCAACAAGAAAAAAAGGTTTATTGAGAAATTTTACAGAACGTTTGGTTTTTTTGTCTTTCTTCAGTGAAGAAGTTTTGTATTGGTGCAAAGTATCACCAAAGACACTGCCCAACTTTGTCTAAAATTGTCCTTTTTTTCACCCCAAACCCAGTGCACAGTCCAGCATAGCAGAAACCCATAGAAAACCTGTGTCATATTTTGTACATCTATTGTTGCAGGTTGACATGTAACTCTTGCTGTTCACATCACACAATATTTGTGCTGACAAGTAACTGTACAATCTTTCATAGTATAACCCGCCCCCCTCCCCAACTCTCGTTTTCTAGAGATTGTGGGGAGGGGGGCATTTGTAGGCTTCAGAAGAAAAGCTGTTTTGACTAGAAAAGGAAGGGGCATCCGTCCCAAAACACAGGACAAAAAACGTGCCTTTTCCTACACACAGTGTAGAGAGCTGGAGGGCAGTAGGAACACCCCTTCCTACAAGAATGGTTCGAGCCTCCGTAACACAAAACGAGTGGATGGAACATGCCACTCTTGATATGTAACGGGGGTGCCTTTTTGTTTTTAAAAAACTAAGATTATCGTGGTCCTCGAATGTGAAGCCTTTGTACTGCCTTGTCAGTTTTGCTTGCATTGTTGATAGCTAGCCACCCCTTTAGTTTTGAGTGGTATGTTCCAGATGTATCATGTATAACTGAGTAAAGGGTTATTCCATTTTTCCCATGGGGATGATTAAAAATGGTTGGGATGTAAACAAACTTTTGTTGTACTCTTGCTGCATGTGTATCAACTCTGTGCATTTTACAAGCGATATTGTTTGTTGTTTCACAAGTCAAGTACACAACATTCTCTTTTACGTACAAACTATACATGATTTTGTTACATCTTAATACTTGGCAGTGGGAAAAAGCTGTTCTTTTTCACATTTTTCTCTCTTATATCCATTTTGGCTTTATAAATTAATTAAATTTTTCAAGACCCTGCTTTCAATATTCAATTTTTCTTGTTACAAATTAAAAGAAATGAAAATAAATGATCATGATTTCAATAATTTAAGTTTAAAACAATGGCAGTCATATAAACCCGCTATTATTATACTTCTGTTCGTAGGACTGAAAGAAAACTCTTGCTGTATAGTACTTTGATCAGTTGACTTTTTAACTTACAACTTGGTATGTCCAGAAGTGGTATTACAACAATAACCAAGAAAACAATACGTCCACAACTACTGTATCCATTCTTCCACTCTACAAATGAAACTGCTCTCTCTCCCTGCAATATTGTTGAAACATGAAATGAAAGAACTGAAAAATGAATGAATGCCTATCACGGCTCTGAATCTGATGCTACTTTCAGTGTGGTTTTCTTAGCTTCGAATCTGAGTCAGCTGAATAAGGAGGCTTCATCCTCCTCCATGCACCAATCAGGGACAATCTGGTCGGGTACTTTCGGCTCCGCCTTCCCGCTAACGCTGATCGGAAAGCTTGCCTTGAACCACGGGTGCTCTAAAACTTCTCTCGCGGTCAGTCTCTCCGACGGTTCGCGGCGTAACATACTACGAATCAGACACTTCGCCTTGGACGAGATTCCCTCCGGGACGGTGAAAATCCCGCGCCGGATCTTCGTGAACAGCGCCTGCGGCTCAGTGTCGTGGAACGGGTAGCGTCCGACCAGCATGGTGTACAGCATCACGCCGAGGCTCCAGACGTCGGCCGCTTTTCCTGAGTAGCTGCCCTGCGTGCTGAGGATCTCCGGGCTAACGTACGCCGGGCAGCCATGTTTGTCGCTCAGACGGTCGTCCCGAGGGTCCGCCAGGAGGTACGTGTCCTCTAGACTCTCCAGCTTCAGCTGAGTTCTGCAGGAAAACAACAAAGAGGAAAAGAGACAGGTTTAGAAACAAGCACCAAAAATACAGAAACTAACATACACATGTAATAATCCACATAAAACCTATTTGTAGGATATATCAAATTGTCAACAAATCAGTCAGGTGAAAACAAAATAAAAAGAACACAAATGAACAGTATATATAGGTGTAGGTCTATTTTCATAAACAGACAACACAGACTTAAGCATATATTTTATTTGGCTGTCCTGTTTTTAAATATTGATGTGTAAAACTGTGACAACTTGTACCCAATTCAGGGGGATGCAGTTGTGCTCCCCTACTGATGTACATTTGGAAAAGGAATGAGCAATTAAGTGTGTTTGTTTGTCATGATTCTTTACCCTAAAATGTATGTTTCCCTTTGATGTGCGTCAGAGTCAGTAAATAGTAAGACAAAACGCGCATGTCGGTCACCCAGATGTCTCCTATATATAACCTGGCCTCTAACACAGGCACATTTGGGGAGGGGGCACATAGGTTCACGGGCTAAAATAGCTGCACCAAACTTGCTGACAATCCACAGATATGTAAGAGGGAAGTTGGAACAGTGTTACAGCAAGGCACACATTCTGAGTCACTCTAACAAACTCTACTATTCATGTACCTTTGTGACAAAATATAACAACAGCCAAATTCTTGTATACTACAAAACTCTTTTCCACGTTTTGCTAAGCCTTCAAATCTATAAACAGAATTCTCTATGTCTCTATACTGTGGCTATACATGTAGCTACTGGATCTAAACTGTCCCCTCAATTGTGGTCCCTTATCAATGATCAAGTACCGGAATGGTCAATATGGTCAAACCTACTAAGCAAATGTCATCAGGTCAATGACCCTATTGTAAACTCCTGCCCCTATACTGCAGAATTTGAAACTTTAATTTGTCTTATTCTTAAGTTAGCATTTTTCAACCATCACACAAGCAAATATACAAATGTTTCTTCTGTCATCCATTGCTTTACTGCTATTGTTTTGAATGTGAAGTAGAAATATTTTTAAATTCTTGATTTTTACGGTGCAGTGCCATTTTATTGCTGCGAATATGAAATGAATTTAAGGTAAATCAGCTGACGCACACAGGCCCACCTTTGGCAAACCCCCCCTTTTACCTAGAGAACGCTGTCGTTTGATTGGACGATGTTAGGTCACCAGCGTGGACTTTATATCGTGAGTAAACATTTGTATTGGAGCGTTGTTCACTTCCTGTGTCTGAGTCAAAGGTTGCATCGTGCCACTGGGACCAAGCTACGCAAAAACTTGCACGTCGGCAAAGATAGTTTAGGGCCGCCTAAATTGTACATCAACATATAGGACAAGGTCATCTGAACAGTAAATGTGTTCCGATTCCTTTTAAAGTAATAAAAAAACATTTTGTGTTTTGGTATTCCAGTGTTCTAGCCAGCCTGAAATCCCAATTTTGTTTGACAATATCTATTAATACCATGTCATGCACCAAATACTAGATGCAGGGGCATGGTCCTCCAAGAAAATTTTGAAACCTTGACCCTCTAAAATGCCATCCCTCTCATTTCAAAGGGAACATCTCACCACCCCTACCCACATCTAAAATGGAACAACCCAAGCAAGGAATCGTTTGAAAGAAATGAGTTAAACAATCACAAAAACAGAAGCAGTTTTTCTTTCCATAACACCTCTTTCAGCGCCGGAAATTTCACAGCATCCAAAAAAAGATGCCATGGAAACTGGCAAAATCCTTCGTTTAAAATGCCACGTACATGGCAGACCAACTGGAACGTGTCCAATGCAAATGAGGGCCTGCCTGGCAGTCAGACGGTTTTTCCAACTGCGTGATACACTTGGCTCGGCGCCAAACTTGATCCGGTCGTGTTTCAAGTCTAACCTCCAGGGCCAGAGTTTCCCTGACGCCAACCAAGTATGTTAGTGGCCTAGTCAGGGTAAATCTTTCTTATGGGACTGTCTCAAGCTGGGCTCTAGCCAGCTCAAAATTTTTTTCTGTCAGCTTGTGCTTGCAATCTAGTAGGGGTTCTGAGGACAAATTTAGGATTTTTGAGCCTTTAAAGATGCAATTTCCAACATTTTGAGAGGAAAATAAAGGGGTTGAGAGTGGTTGTTGGTCTGCTGGATGTTTTAATGTTTTTACCAAAGATTTTTGTCAATTTTGTCTATCAAGGCTGACGGATTCGTTTAAAAAAATTCCATCACATGCAAAATTGTGCAATGTTTCATAGCAATAGATGTTACATTTCTGGACAACCACTGGATTGTTTTGCTCTCAGCAATTGACATGATGTTATGTCATACAAAATTGTGATGACGGAAAAATATTTCAGGCTGGCTAGACCCACACCCAGGGCATAACTTCCATCTGTGTCATCAGACACAAATGGATTTTCAAAAACCACCCACACAGAAATGGCGAGAAAGTGTTTAATGTAGCCAGTAGCAGGCTGATACGTATACCAGATACAGACTCCACTGGTTCAAGGTTTCAGAGAGAAAGTGTCCCAAATACTTGGGTAAATGCCAAATATGGGGGAATATCTGGGGTTTAGAGGGGATTTTCCAGGCTACAACTACTCACCTACAAATTGGAGATAAAATTTGAGTCCAATGCGATTTCAGGGCAGCAAAACTAGAAATATTAGCACATTTGATAGAGCATTTCAGACTTTGGGCATTTAAAACTGCAGAAACAAGCCCCAAGTCATTTATTTTCTGGGTGGTACCCTAAAAATCACCTACCAATTGGCGATAAAATTTTGTTAATATCAAAAAGAAAATACAAAACTAAGCTACTTGTAATTTGGCAACCTATAGTATTTTGTGAAGAGCAAGTATAGAACCAAATAAGATGACATCTATAAGTATTTTGAGCCATGAAAAAGGGAATTTCCTGGATAGAACTACTCACCTACAAATTGACGATAAAATTTTGAGTCTGTATTAAAAAGAAAAAACATTTAGCTAAACTACTTGAAACTTGGCAACCTAGTATTTTGTGAGGAGCAAATATAGATTAGTACTTTGACTCCTGAAAAGGGTATTTTCTTTGAATTATACCTAGCCTGAAAATGTCACTTGTCAGCAGAACGTACTGCACCCGTAATATGTACTTTGGCTGCTTGTCTCACAAAAGGTTGTATTCGCAAATAAGGTTAACATCCCATATATCTATAGTTTCCAAAGGTTGTGTGGGAAAAGATATTGTCTGCAACAGGCAAAATTCTGATGCGACGCTGACCAAAAATCCAACAAAAAAATGTGAAAAATTAGGGTATCATGGAGGCGCAGTACATCCTAGCCTGGGGGTTTCTGACTGACTGTAATTGTCGCTAGTCATTTTGTCAGTTCCATCCGCTCTAGCCTGCGTGTTGGCACACACAAGGACGGCTGACAATAGAGGTAATGGTGTGTGAGGTAAAGGGGGGCGTGTAGCTAGCACGACATTTCTGCTGGCGGGAAAGAATTCGGTTCTAGATACTGAGGAAACTGTAATTGTTCATCCAAGATTTCGATGCAATTTCAGGGCAACAAAACTGGATTTTCTACTCAATTTTCTGGTCATTGTTTTAATGTAACAGGTTGAAACAATTTCAAGCATACGGATATCTGTGAGTGTGAGGCAAAAATGCCACGTCACTCATGCAAAATGGTTGCTTGTTTTGTTTTGCTGGTTCTAGCTATTTATTGGTGGTACCGTATCCAAAAAGTAAAGGTACTTCTTATGTAGCTTGTTTTGGGGCTTTAAGTATGAAATGATGACGACAATGTGTAACAATCAGGATTTGAACCCCCGACCACTTGGTCCAGAAGCAGGGACACTCACTGACCACATGGACTAGATACATGTAGAGGCCAGGTCACTGACCACTGGATTAACTAGAGGCAGGTCATTGACCAGTGGACTATGCACACAATTTTGGTCCCCTATACTTCCTACATTTGTTACTATAAAGTATTTGTAAGTTTATGTCCATTTCTATCTGTCACCCCTACGTTTTTTGGGGGCACCGCCTATTCGCCAGTATCGGAAAAGCCTTCTGTTTTCTACTTTGGCCTCGATTTGAAGAGTCATGTGATTACACGAGTGCGACAGTTGCATCATTTTGCGAGCGCTGGCACTTCAACAAGAGAGGCCGTCATTTATCAATGACAACCACTGGGGAGTGACAGGAAGATACTGGAAAACGTAACCAGTGTTCTCACTAGGCTGAGTGTGATTTGGGCCCCCTACGCTGTGATTTGGACCCCCTATGCTGTGATTTAGCCCCTATTTCAACCAGTGTAGGGGTGTTTCTTTTTAGGGGAAAACCCTTCATAGATCTGTTTTAAAAAAAATTCAAATTTGACTATGGAATAAAGCTATAACCTCGAAATTGGGAGGAATACTTATGATTGATGAAAAGATGTTATAATCTAATTATTTAGTGCCAAATAATTCTTTCTGTATCATTTTTCTGCACCACACAATAACACACTTGAATAGGTAACAGTTATTAATCAAAAAGTGAAGAATAAATTTAGAAGTCATGATGCCCTCATAAGGTGAATTCCAAGTTAATTGCCAACAGACTGAATTTCCGCAGATGGTTACAAGGTCGGAATGTACCAAGGTCGTCTGTCAGTTGGAAATTGCGAGGAACTTGCGAGGAACGGTATTTCTTCACCTTCCGTGCGTGTCTGCGTCACTGTGTTGATAAATTATGTATGGGAAATATTTCTATTTGTGTATGGAATGAGTTATGGAAATTTTCATGGAGGGAAATAGAACAGTGGCAGATATCTGTCACAATTGTGGTAGAAAAATTTCCAAATTTTATTTGAAAACATCAATATACGTGAATAGTGGGTTAAAAAATTTCAACAGTTTTAATTAAAATTGTGTGAAAGGACATTTTTTTGTGGGAAAAAATTCCAGCTTTTCACATAAAAACATTTCAACACTTTTTAAAATTTCAGTAGAGTACTCTACCATGGATTTAGACATTTTAACACTTTAAAATTCTGTGGAATTGAAGCTAAATTCCTTTGATAAATAACAACAAAGTGGCCATCTTGTACACACCTTTTTGGTAAACATTGTCTCCAAGCCTAAAGGCATAAAAAAAACTTGCGCAACAAAAATGGGAGAAGTGCCAAAAAGTCTGGGAGCCCAGACAGTGCAAATATTTCCGCTGGAACTTGGAAAGTACCCAAGACCGGATACATGTTCCCTCTGCAGGGGAAAACCGACCCTTTGGAAGAAAACGACACAGAATTTGGCAGAGCTCTAATCCGTACACATAAACACAGACCCACTGCTACATACTTATAACATTACACCACACTTTTCAGTTATGTTTACAACATTGCGACTTACTTTTGACTTTTCTATTCTTTTTCACAAAGACTAAATGCTACCGTATTTATGTGTTCCTGCTACTACATAGAGGAAGAGAGATTGAAGGATATTAATGTGTTTGTCTACGTTTCAGACATTAGATATGATTGTGCACAGGTTTTTGGCTTGGTTCCACCTGCCAAAAGCACTGAGAGACTTCAATGCACCAAGACCTGGGAACTTGCCAAGAATAAAAGATATGCAAACACTAAAGTACAGTGCTTATTGCTGACTAGAGTCTGTGTCTTTGTAGGTTTCACAGCAATGAAGGACTTTTGTCTGGGCGGACTTAGTCTAAAGTAAACTTAGAAGTAACAGTTCTAAAGGGCAACTCGCTATAAACACAGCCTTTTAACTACAAGTTCGGCATTTCCTCAGAAAAATGATAGATATACTTGCGTCGTAATTTATCAACTTGCTATGTGTCCCCACAATCTCCTGGTTTCTCCCATGTTCTACTGCTTTATCCCATATTTTCCCACAATCTCCCACTGTCTTTTACATTTAAGTACTTTGTCGTATTTTGCATAATCTTAATTTGCATAAATGGGACACTTACATGCTCCCGTAACTGTGAAGAAACATTTGTGCACTACGAGTGTTACATACTCATCTAAACATAAAACTTATAAGGACTTCAAAACAAGGACAGGTCAAACCAAGGACAGAAGAGACATGACCATGCACTCGTACATGTACAAATGACCTTGTCAGCGGAATTCAAATTTCCGTGGAATCTTTCCAGCCCTGAAATGGTCAGATTGACGTCACGGACAGACCTGTCAGCGGAATCTGTTTCCCCTCAATATCCATTAATTTTCCGCATGCCTTCTGCGCAGCAGAAGCTGATAACTAAGTCTAATGGGCTTACTGTCAGATATGTGCTGAGAATACCTCACAGCTTGTAGGTCGTTCAACTCTCTAACAAAGTCTAGGATACATGTAGAGGTATGCATGTAGTGTATGTATGTACAGCTAAGCTTGTTTTAAAACAGTACATGTCAGGACTGGAAATACAATACCGCCTGTATAAGCAGGTTAGTGCAGGTAAAATTGGACCTGTAAAGGTATTGAAGTCTACCTACACTGGTCCATGTACCTACGAAGTATAATGCTTCTAAACAGTTTTTAGTATGCTCTATACTTCCTAAATTCTGGGGGTGCAGGTAAAATTTTTTATGTCCGTACTGGCGCAGGTATGCAGAAAAAGTATTTTGAGCCCTGATACAGGTACACCTTGTACTCACAAGGAAACCTAAACCCTCTTCACCCTTAAACCCACTTCCTTCCTACCTGAGCTAAACCAAACATGCAGGTAGTGGACACTTCCTCAACTCAAGAGGTTCTGTCAATTTTTGCCCACAAATTGCGTTGTTTTGAAAACGCTTGTGGAAAGATCAGTTTACGTCATAATTCTATTTCACAATGTTACTTTGTCAAAAAACTTAGGACATTTGTATGATGTAATATAAAGCAACTTATAGTTATAGTAGATGCATCCGATTTCTAGAGTTTCTAAGCCATAGGACAATAAGAATCTCTACAAAATCTTAGAAGAAGGTCTTACTTTTCAGGGTCTTGGAAGACGAACTTTCGCAGCTTGAGGTCTCGCAGGACGACACCGTTGTCGTGACAGTGTGCCACCGCCGACACGATCTGGAAAAACAACCAGACCGCCTCCTCCTCCTTCAGCCGTCGCTTGTTGCGTACGTACGAGTGCATGTCGCCGTGGCTGCGCTCGAAGAAAACGTACGCGCTGCGCTCGCCGAGGATGACCTCGGTGACCTGGTTGACGTTGTCGTGAGGTAGAACGTTGAAGTTAGCTGCCATGGCCTCACGGTAACGACTCAGCTCTAGAACCTGCACAGGAAAATAACAACAAAGAAACATAAGAAACTGCAAGAAATTCAACATGTTATCATATTTTTTCAGTTCCAAGACTAACTTTAAAACCCATATGGATTGATTATAATTTTAGTCATTCTACATGTATATTGAATAATTTTTTTGTCATGTTCTGTTTTGTTTTGTGCTTACGACACAAAAATCACACAATTTAGGAAAAAAAGAAAGGGTACTTAAGATTTATGTCAGTTATTTCACAAAAAGTGCCAAGTAAGAATTATTTATTTTGCCAACAGAATTTTATAGAAAAAATTCAAACCTTTAACTTATGGCTTGTGTTCAAGTAAAGATACTGAAAATGCCATGTCACATACTATATCAGTAACAGTACATGATGCAATACTAATACATGTTTTTAAGTTGTTCCAAGATACGATGAAATATTACTGACACAGTATGTTATCAAAGCTTTGTAATACACGATTACATCAGACTTCAGTTCAAAACAGAATCACATGCTGTTTATGTACACTTGGGTCCTGTGACCAAATTTCCCCCCTCTTACATATTGAATGATGCAACAGCGTGGTCAGACCACCTACACGCCCACCTAATTTGCATACTGGACTATGTGACCTTCCTGGCGACTTTAACCCAATTTGCCTTGTTACGATGCAATCTTGTTGAAATTTTGTAACTGTCGTATAAGCTTGCTACGAAATCTGTATTCTGATGAAATAACAAGGAAATTTGCAAGGCTAACTTTATACATATACCTAATTCTTGAAGTTGTAACTACACTGTAGTACATTCTAGACAATATCAGACTTTTCTAAAGGAAACGGACAACTATTAAAGTTGATTATGGTTAGAAATATGACTAGCAACCAACTTTAGCCAACGAAATGGTCATCCACTGATGATTCTGTACCAGAATGACTGTTGAGGGTTGGGCATCAGTATTGTATGTACTAATGTTCTACCATTGTAGTGACTAAGTCTACCGGAAGGCCATTTATAGAGGCATGTTGTTGTTGTACAAGTCAAGACGGTTTAGTCAGAATTTTCTGTATCACTTCAACAACAAAATTTGGCTTGATTTTGAAGACAAGCTGAACCCCTTTGATCAAATTACTTTGCTTTTAATTGTCATAGAGGTAATGAGAGAGGAATAGTTTGTGAGGTGGTGAAGTTTTGACATGTGATATGAGGTCATAATCCACATTGCCACATCACAATATACCTACCACATAAAACCAATACAAATAGTTGTGGGGTCGTGTGGCGCAGTCGGTAGCGCGTTCGGCTCACACCCGAGAGGTCGTGGGTTCGAACCCTGCCCATGTCACCGATCTTGTGCCCTTGGGAAAGGCACTTTACACGACTTTCCTCACTTCACTCAGGTGTAAATGAGTACCTAGCTTCGGTTAGGGACGTCCCTCGGATAGGACGTTAAATGGAGGTCCCGTGTTTGGGAGAGCCACACCCCACGCACGTTAAAGAACCCACCGCACTTATCGAAAAGAGTAGGGGACCTTCCCGGTGTAAGTGGTTCAAGCCTTACAGTCTGGTCTCGGGGTTGACATCTTTGAAGAGGTGATAGTCACCTGTTATGTCAATCCTTCCACAAATGTGGTAAATCGTCATAAAATAAATAAAATAAAATAAAAAAAAAATTTGTTCCAAATGGCTACCTTAGCAGGCTGAAGATTAACTATCAACACAGATGAACTTTCATGCTAGTCTAAGATGTTTTCTTTTGGTTGTTACACAGATTTCCCCCAAATTTCCCCATGTGACTGTGCGCAAGTGTTTAGTCCTGTATGATGCAACCATTTGAAATCCACACAATGTACACAACACGGTCACCTGACCAACCCACCATTTGTTCCAGGTGTAAACCGATCGAGGTGAGTCATTCCGGCGGTCGGTTATTATTAACAGACTTCGCTCCTTTATACGGGCGCCATGACTCAAGGTAAACAATACGCACAGCGCGTGTTTGGGTCAGCGAAGGTGTCACACGGCACGTACAGTACTACAATTGGATTGCACAATCTCGTCTCTGTAACACCGTTTCCGCTTTCAACTTTTCAGGCTTTGATTGTCCAATTTTTACTAATTTTTAGCAAATTGTCTGCCTCTTTTTTCTGCTTTCAGCGAAGGTGTTGACATTTGTGGCACGTATTACGAAGGGATTGCACAATCTCGTCTCTGTAGCACCGTTTCCCCTTTCAACTTTCCCAAATATAGGCTTAGATTGTCTAAGTTACAGCAATATCTACTCCTTTATACTTCTTTACGAGAATATATCTTACATATACATATATTTTATAGGTTGAACCTTCTCCCTGCTGCCTAACCCCATAACAAATACTAGTCAGAGAGCTACTTCAGTGTACTGAAGGTTAACAATGTTTCATACTGTTTTGTTATCGGTACCCCAAACTTTGCAAACAAATCATATCTTGAAAGGCTGTAAAAAAAGTTTACAACGTTTTGTCGTGATCCTACAAGTCACGATTTCGTGAGATAAAAACTTTGGGCTGGAATGTTGTCAACATTCTTCTCTGTAGTTTTATAAACACATCACTGCACATGACTAACTCAGTAATTCACAGTGACTTACTCCACAGAAATCCAGCTTGAGGACTTGTTTTGCGAAGTCATTAGTAGAACTTCTTGCCAAGACATCTTGGCCCCACCTTGGATTAAATTCTCCTTCGTGTTTTGTCCATAAGTCACGAGGCAGTAAGACTTAAGACAAGACTAAAAGACTTGGTTTTGTTCTGTAAGAGTGGAGTGGAAATGACTCATCTAGTGATGGTAGTACCATGTACTTTACTAAGACAGGTACAGTCACCTGTGTTAGACAGGTGTAACAGGTGTGTTTGCTATACAGGTAACTCAATAATTTACAGCTCAAGCAACCCCCAATTTAAAAAAAAAGTCTGTATTTACCACACGTATGCAAGTCACTCTACTATCCTTCCACTTCAAGTCCTGATACTGATAGTCTTTTCTTTCCCCCTTTCTATTGTCCAATCTTTTCTTCCTGTTTTATTTTGCTGCACGCTCAATTCAAAATACTGTATTGAAATCGTTTCCGTTGCCTACAGGAAGAAATTCAAAGACTTGTGCATGAAAGAAGTTCTTGCCTTTGAAGAACTAACTTACTAAGAAGAAACAAGAGGTTTTGACACATCAAATGGGGGTAAAATCTGGGATCGAAGAAAGAAATCCAGCTGTATTTGTCAGGGGTTTTCTGAAGTTTTTGGCACATGCCACACAACGTGTGGATGAATCCGGTCTGAAACCTTGTTTTCTGCCCTAGAGGCATAGTCGTGACTGGCGTATGCCTTTTAAATTCTTGTACTCTGATCCGAAATATCTCAACACAAAAGCTAGGACTTACTTTCTAAGCGCTAATTTCTGTAGCATCTAATAAGGAGTTATTGCAAGGTTTTTTTGTAGGATTCACAACCAGCAAAGAAAACAAAAGTCCAAAGCTACCAGGTTTTCCGCTTTTGGTAAAATCATTTTTTCCTATTGTATCATACACGATTGCTGTGAAATGTAAGGATCTGGGTTTGGAGAGGTGGCAGTTTTATAATACACAATACGTCATTTTGTGCCTAGGTGCTAAATTAATTTTGTTGTTGGCACAAGGGTGGGCTTCTCCACTTCAAAAGGGGGCTGGTGGCTGCAAATTGGGGGCACCAGTTGCCAACTAGGTGCGAATTGTAGACTTTTAGACTCAATTTACTTCCAAAAACAAATATCAAGCCCGTAAAGGCACTAAAAAAACGACACTTTGACTTTAAGCACTTTTTTTAACTTTCCCAAAAGATGACAGTTTTTAAATTCTATATCATCTTTTTTCTCTCATTTTTTTCGCTGATTGAAATGACAGAGTGGGGGCAGGTGTTTCGTCCATAAGTGAATCTTTTATTCAACACTTGGGTTGAATATTCATAAGGTAGCATGTCCATCCTTTTTTCTGATGAAAAAAAACGCAGCTTGCACTGTGCAAAAAAATATTACATCTTTACACCTTGCCTTACAAATACGCAGTATCTTTTTCATGAAAAAATGATTTCATCATCAACTGAAAGACCTTGTTCTAGCTTTTCGTTTGTAGATGTAATAGATGTATTGTACAATGTGTTTCGTCTAATTTTCAAGAGATTTCTGTCTTTTTTGGACGCTAAAACGACTGACCTAAAACACCTACCCCACACACAGAGGCCCTCTACTCCTAAAAACTGGTGCGTAGCGAGGTCTGTTTGCCGTTCTAACATTTCACTGGTCCATTCATGCCATAGGAAGCGGGAAAGCACGAACAAAAGGTGACCAATGGGGGCCAGACAAAGACTTGGCTGTGCCGCGTGTTTGCAGTGTGAAAACTACCATGTCGCTTGGCTTCCCTAACACAGCTCTAGTTTGTTGACTCTTCAATCAAGAAGGCGGACTAGGACAAGATGCGATAAAACCTTGCCTCATCGCGTGTTGTATTTCATCGTACGCTGCCGAATAGTCAAACGTTTCGACGCGTTTTGTTGCGAAATTGTGACAATATGCGCGTGAATATATGGATACAGAAAGCAGGTACTATAGTGTTGTGGAAAAAACAATTGGAAACCTGATATCGTCTTCACTTTTACAGCTGCGCAAATGCTAGCTTGCTGCCAACAGTGGTCCCGAGAAAGTATGGTTAGGAAAATCGAGCTTGCTCTGAGACAAAAATCCTCACGTTTGAAGCAAATTTAACACTATTGCAGCATTGTGAAGTGATGAAATAGGAAGAAAGCATTTTCGCTCGTACCTAAAATCATACTGACGAAATGTACAGTAGTTTCGAAACCTCGAACATCATAATCAAGCAGACAGAAAAGTGTGCAGTTAACTTTTAAAATGTTGCGATTAAAAGGCATCACTCTACAATTTCCTAGTATGAAAATTATTATACTTGCCTTTGCAAATTTAAAATGCAACAATATTGCAATTTGCAAGCATCTAGTTATGGCATAAAAGTAAGAAACAAAAGTATCATACCTATTTTTCAAAACCAAAGATCTAGAAAATGAAGTACGGCCTTTAGTAGCCTGGAACTCACCTTACACACATACTCTTCTTCTGTTAGTGTGTGAATAGCCTCGTACAGGCCTCCGTCCAGCTGCTTTGTCAGCAGATACTGCCCGATGACCGAGACATTTTCTTCCTGCTCTTGTGGAAAGCATGGCGGGCTGCTGGGACTGAGAACGGGGCTAGAGGGGGAACAACTTAGATCGGGTGGTGGGTCGAACGGTACCGTCTTATAGTTCTCATCATGGATAGGGATGGGGTTCGAGCGGTATATGTTCATAAGGAGCTTTTGCTCTTTCCTTTCTCCTTGAAAATCCGCTGCAAAGACGAGACTAAAGAAATATTATTGCAACAAAATTACGAGCTGAATTTGCACAGTACGTAGTTTTTTTTTTTGGCGAGGGTGCCGAGAAATTATTCGTTGGAATGTTGGAAACGGTGAAGTCCTTTTTTGTTGAATCAGGAAATTTCCTCGTGTGTGGATTTCACAATCACAATAGACAACAGTCAGTCCCAGCGAGGCTTTTTTTTTCGGTTGTGCGTAGCAGCAAAATGGCAAAACACTGAGCAGAAATGTCACAACGATTCGAACATCGAGTCTTTGTCGTTGTAGTCGTTGGAAAGGAATAAATTCCTCAGAAATACAGAGTTCGCGAAGCGAGTTCCGTGTTGAGCACGTTGCACCCAAAACACACCCCGCTCTCTTTGTTGGCAACGCAACGTGGCTATCAAAAAATTATGCCACGAGAAAAGACCAAAAACCTTGTGACGAACCTCGGTCCTTGGTGACAATGTGGCGGTCACAGCTGCGATGGAAAATTTCCAGAGAGAAATTGCGATCCTCCGTGGCAATAGTGACTGTGTCTCAAGATCGGACGGTGTTGCGCAAGACGTGAATCACCCAGCTTACAGCGTAACGTCCTTAGCAAGATGGCCGGACCACAGACCAGGGTAGGCCCCAACTTCGCTCTTCCTTTTCGGCTCCGGATGCCTTTATTTCGGGATCGGCGACGCTCTGAAGCTCCACGCGGCTCCGCAGGCTTGGGTTGAGCTAGCCGAACTAACCGGGCTGGCCCGATCTTCCCGGCCGACCCCGAATTAGAGGCAGAAACGATGACAAGTACGTCCCTCCATGGCGCTACCTGCGTGTCCTGCCCGGTCTGAACCTCCCCTCCCCTTCACCACACGGCACCGGCTCACAGCAACACGTCAACACATATCACTCCGCTACATAAGTGTCTGCCAACAATTTTTCCACGTCAACTTCAAATTAAATACTAAGTAGTCTTTAATATCTAACTTTCCAATTTGTTGGGTTATTGTCTTATTTGGTGTGATCAAGTTTAACACAATGTTCGGTCATTTAGTATTTTTGTGGCACTAGGCAATTAAAACCCCTTGCGGGGCATATGAAACCTCTAACATTTTTGTTAGTTCGCAATAGTATTTTTTATAATGTTATAAAGAGAAAAAAAAGAGGAAAAAGTGTAGTTTTTCTTCTTTCTCAAACTTTCAATACTTGTCTCCTCTTTGGAACCACCATCATCACTAGCTGTATTTTTCGTCAAATATTTTTTTCATATAATATTATTTTCGAAAATTTAATTGCTTTGCGTATCAAAACATCCAAGAAGCAAAGAAAAAAATAGATCAATATCGTCTTATTTATCTCAAAGCAACATTATATATTTTAAGGCTTTCAAACCAAAAACACAAAACAAATACGCTCATACGCATCCGGGCCATATCAATTTGATCAAAAATGAAAGAATGACTTCGATTTTTTCCTGTATCTTTTTCCTCACAAATATCCAAAGAAACGAATGCGTAATTATAATGGCATTTGTTTACAATTACAACGTTAAACAGTAAAGCTACACGTCTTCAAGTGACTCATACTGTAGAGAAAATACTAGAAAGTACTTGTTACTTCCTGCCTGGGTCTATTTTCATTCAGCGGAAGGTTTCAGACTGAGTGAAAAGGCGTCCCAAATGCTCGGATCTTGCATCATTACAGTGATGACGCAATGACAAAGATTGAGAGCGTCTGGGCTAGTCGTACTGCAACTGTCTACGGGGGTGCACGATTTCGAATTTTTTTTCTTAAATACAATATTTCAATAAGTTTGTAAAGATATCAATATAATATGATGATAATCATAAATATATTAATTTACGCTAAACATTAATAAGTCATAGAATATATTTTTATCAATCAATTTTTCTTATGATTTGTATTTTCCACACCCAATTTTTATTTGGAATCTACCATCGTTTTATTTGGCGGGCTTCTCCCATATTAGGCCATTGACTGGCCTGCGGTTGCAACATCGCGCGCGAAAATGGTAGACTATACCATTCGTCGAACGGTCAAAATAGGGCGACAGATTATAAATTTACATTTTTTTCACATATAACAAACCGATTTCTACAGTTTCTATTTTATAGAATAAAATTATACGAGAACTTATATTTCTAGCTCTTGTAGCTATTGATAGAATGATTAAAAGGATATTTCTTTTTTCCTAACACCCCTGTCAACGGTCAATGGTTCGGTACCATAACAAAGCGGGAAAGAACGTGCCGTGCTCTGATTGGTGGACAGCGTCAGGCGGGCTGAGGGCTGGTTGTGGGCACAACTCCATATATGGGCGGTCCACCAATCAATGAATCAATCCATCACTTGTGACGCAGGCAGATTTGGCGTTTGACAGGTCCTGGTGACGCAATCTCTTCCTCCTAGAGACATTTGGACAACGGTGGTTTGTCACTGTTTGCATCATATGATACACAGAGATCGCATGATTTGGTGACGAATGCTGACGTGTGCACCTATATTCAGTTAGAGGATACAATCCAAATATCGTACCAAATATTGCGCTTAGCCTTTATAGGCCAAAGCAAAGCAATGCAAGGCCAGTAAATTTCATGGTTAATGCTCACTACAAATACAGAAAATGCTACCACACTATACGCACTAGTGTCTCTTTATAAGAGCTAGCGCACTACTTGAACACAGGAAAAATAAAATTGCTTTTGACGGTGCATGGAGGTAAAAGTCTCTTTTTACCTCCATGGACGGTGACACCGTGTTTGGCAGAAACCGTCACGTCTGCTTGAAGTTTACATACAATGTACTGAATGAGCACATTTTGGCAGTGCCATGACATTCTGAAAGGGGGCGCTGCTGTATGGCGCTTGCAACAATTTTTTTTTACCGTCCTTCATCTCTCGAGTCAGGTAAAGCTGCCATCTCTTAGCCTCTACCAGGCTTTGGGAGGCGGCTGGAAAGAGTGTGACATACTGTTCTCTCTAGCGGACCAACTCCCCTGGCATATTTATCTATTTGGCCGATTTCTACTCTTTCCAGCCGCCTCCCGAAGCCTGGTAGAGGCTAGCCATCTCTAATTAAATTCCCGTGTGTGTCGTTTCTATGTGCAAGTTAATCTTATAGATCAGTCAGTTCAGTCTATACCACTAGACAAAAATGATTCTATAGATTCAGTCAAGCAAGAAAAATTATTTCCCCGATGCCTGAACTCCATAAACGTATTACTTCTACTACTTAACCGTATATAAAATCAATGAAACGGAGTCAAACAACACAAAACACTAGTTCATTCAGGACAGAACAGTTTAATTCACATAGTAGAAACAATTACAGGGCATATTAAAAGCGCCTAACGGAAGAAGAGATAGTTACTTGTATCAATCTCCAAGCAGATCCCTTTCGGTGGCAAGGCAGTATCCATTAGCCAGAGGAGTTTGCACGGCCACCGATACTGCCTTGTCACCATATGATCTGCTTGGAGATTAACTCGTATATCGCATTCCGGTGCAGCATATCTCAGAAACATACCGGGTTTAAATCATTCTTCTCTTGCAAAATCGTGTTTTTTATTTAATCCTAGCACTGGAATGTGATGTACAATATCACGAATATACAAATATTTTTACCTATCCACATATTTTTGATGTGTTAGGTAAAAATATTTGCATTTACAATACTTGATATAATTAATTGTACGTATATGTCTAAATAAATACTTTCCACATTGGCAATAGCCTATAGCGTTATTCGCTTATGTACGGTACAGTGGTAAGTGTTCTAAGAAAATCAGAGGAGAAATTTAAGTTGGGAAGTTAGGAAAATGACCCATATATTATCTCCAAGCAGTGGCAAAATCGTATAACTGCCAAAAAGAATAGGTCCTGTGGGCCATAGACCGACCCTGAATGTCCATCCAATGAGAGAATGGCAATTAGCAGTTCAACCAATGAAAGAATGGCAAATATTAATGGTTCGACCAATGAGAGAGTGACATTTCTATGTTTTGAAGGGGGTGGGCGGGGCAAGCAGTTACGATTTTGCCACGGGATGGAAGATTTGATTGGAGAATAACCCATATATATTATGTAGCATTTAGTTGTATTTATAGCAGGCAATATCCCTACAGTAACACACACATATCAGCCTCAAAACTAAGCGCTATATATAGCATATAACTTTATTGTTAACAAATAACATCTTAAACTTTTGTAGTCTCTTACAGACTTGTTGGGCTGCGTGAAAAATAGTAGCAAATGTCCAAATGGCCATATAGGCTAAAGAATTTGGCAGAGGAGTTAGGTAGCCATACCTACACATAGGAAATACAGGTTGTTTAACTAACGTCTCTGGTACAATATTCAGCCTATTTCTGACAATTATTTGGCTATTTTTCAGATAGCCCAATGAGTCTGCTGCAGGCTATCACTCTGATGCACTATTTATCTTTGGTACCAATAATATCATTTTCAAAATATCTGCTTTATTTGACCTCAAGCTAAGCGCACCTGTAAAATATTATGTATCATATTTGTACTATATATGTTGTATATTTTGGAAAAATATCACTATAATTCGGTAATAGTATTGTATGATGGCATTTCGATGCGAATTCTTTTGTTCTTGAATTCTTTTAGATGTATGAAAGGGTCCGAAAAAAAGGTGGTTGCTTTCTAGATTTTAATTTAAGTCATTTCTTTTTACTTTAAGTTATTTCAAAATATGCAAAAAGGGTTTTAGTAATTTCATAGTCCTTGGGGTTAATTTGTTTTCGGCATTCGCCTACATATAAGATGGCCTAAACATGTAAATTAGGTCACAACTATGCAAATGAGGTAATAAGTTTGGTGCGAATAGACTTGTACATGGTTTTCGATGTTTTTGCTTCTTCACTGTTTTACCTCTAAATGAACATCATAACAAATGAATTCGAATAAGCAAAAAAAAAATCCTTTGACCTGCAGCATAATAATTTGATCTTTGCTATGCATATAAGTATATCTACAAAGATTTATATAATATATGATTTTTTTATTAAATGAATACTGATATTCTTATCACCGAAAATAATCTTAATAAATCTATATTAAATGTCATCGATTTATTAGGGACCCATGACGTCACCATCAGCTGAAGGTGATGTCAATTTGAATTTAGAACGTTTTGTTTCTTTTGTTTTTTTAAGAACACAACAAGTAAAAAAACAAACCATTTTTGCCGAGAAGGGAAATTTAAAATGATGACACAAAATAAGGGATCAATTTAGTTTTGCCCTAAGAAATACAAAGTGAGAGCTCATTGGTGGTTTGTGGATTAAGGTTTGAACAATTGGATAAAATAAAACATAGTCAAATTTTAGGGACGGACTAATTAAGTATAGAAGATGGAATCATGATTGGAGGTTGCAATAGTGCTATTTAATGTTGAGCGGATTTATGAAAGAACGATTATAGATATGACAAAAGACAGAAAATATTCTGTAGTTAAATCACGATAGTCTTGTAGTTGTACCATTCTGTTGATAAGCTCCTTTAATAATGGTTTGAAAGATTATAGCTAATTTGTTAGAAGCAACATACTGGGGGAGGGGGGTAGCAAACTTCTAGCCATGGTTTCTTCCTGCTGGAATTTAACATCGTCTCATGGTCCATTTTTTCACCGGTAGTGTCAGTTGGGCAGTCACGTTGTTCAAAGACCTGGGGAAAAACAAGAAGATAATAAGTTTACAGCAAATATATGAACTATTCTAGCACTATCTAAACTGAAGACAAAGTTCAGGCATCTAGGTATAAGACAAACAAGGAATCATTACTCAAGCAACTGAATAACTCCGTCATAGTTGCTTCTCGATGAAACAATAAGTTGTGACGACAAAACTCTTTCTTTCACTCAACCACGACGGGGGCCGACATCGTTTACCAGATAGCTCTGACCCAGTGTTGACGTCTTTGAAAATTCTTTTTTCTCTTCAAAATTTTGGTCCAGTTTGGAGACGTTTCGGCTAGAAGGAACAGGTAGGGTCTAAACTTTCCTAGTTTGGTCAAATTTTGTGCATTGATTTCACCAATTTAGTGGCCATAATGAGAGACCTGAGTGATGAGGTCTGGCCTGCCCAGGGCGGATGGATACATGAAAAAAGTATGTCAAAAGTAGGGTTTGTTTACTGCTGTCAGCTGTTGTAAGAGTTCGAGCTGATCAATCCCCTGTTTTCTCTTCTATATTTGGGAAGTAGACCGTTGTGGCTCTCTGGTGCAGAAGAATTTTTGAGATTGAAATGTGAGAAAGTACTTTCATGGGGACTTGTTTCAGTGACAGTGTATTTAACCATAGGAGTGTGGCGAACCATGGCGAATAACGAAAATATTCTTGTTATTACTCCGTGAAGGAGGTCAGGACCTCCGGACGGAGTGTTGTAATCGGCTGATTTTTCATGTTCGCAGTCAAAACACTGGGTTCTCTTCGTGTAATCGGCACGCAATTTTATACGCCGTCTGCGGGCATGCCCGTGTTGATGCACGAATGTGTATTTTTGCCGTTGCTGCTTTCGCGGTCAATGTAATATCGCAGACGCACCCCTACAATTACGAGGCGAATTGGAACGGTCCAGAAAAACGCGTTGTTTGGAATAGCGGGGGGGGAGGTAAAAGTTCATGCAGATACGGGGTGGTTTTTATAAGTGGTTCCAGATGTTTTTGCCCATGGTTAAGAGATGCCAAGTTTTTTGGAAGATGTTCGCAGCCAAAACGCATTCTGCCGTACGTCGCATATCTGTGTAATTTCGCATGTGGTGTTGCATTATGTCCGGGATGATGCACGTCTTTTTATTTTTACCGTAGCTGTTTTGATATTGGAGTAAATGGTTATTTTCGAAACATCCCTACTTTTACAATCCTGTGGAATAGACCGTAGGTTTAGGCAGTTGTCTGGTAGCAGAGGTACTGTAAGCAGATATCCTGGTTATCTGGCCGGCGGTAGTAACACTCGCGGTGCTTACCGCCACTGTTGCTGGAATTTGGCTTGTTCCAGGCGCGCTTAATTAGGTACAGGCACCGTAAGACGGTGGGGCTGTCTTTGTTACTAGACACGACCATGATAGTCCGATCTTTATGTGAATGCAATGATTGTGTGTGTGTAATTAAAATGAAGTTAGAACTTGAAGCACAGTATCTTTACACGCCCTGGGAGCAGTAATGGATTTAGCTCTTTGTATGTTTTATGCTTGTGACGCGCCCTCATTGTATTAACCCACGCTCCTCCGCAGCGTCCGCTAGCGCGCTATAATTAAATCCACATCTGGGCGCGCGGCGGGGTCCCCAGAGCAACACAGTGCGGAAGCATTAGCGTGTATTTGTGTCCTGGGGCCGAGAACGCATTTTGCGCAAAGCATGCTGGGTAGCAGAGTGAACTGTCCTGGGGACGAGAGTTTGTGGCGCGGGCGGAGAATGCCAAAACTCCCTCCGTGGCTAAGTTCCTTCCGCGACTAACTCCCTTCTGGGCAAATGTAGAGGGATAACGGTACACCCTCATAGCGTCACCAAATGAGGTACTTTGTAAAGGTCCGTTTCATTTGGTATATATTACCATTGTGACAGCATTTTATACCCCAAAATAGGAATCTTGCGTCTTGTTTTAGGTCCCGATAGTAGAAAGAATGCAGTGTACATGTATTCAGATGGCCGCCGTGTAACGTTACGTACTAGCGAGCGCGCACGACAATACCGCCAGAGTAGAGTAGGTTATCCTAACCCTTTAGATAGCGCAAAGAAAACAAAAACGACAGATTTGCATTAAAGAAAGTTTATTTTCCATAGCCTGGGCTAAGCCACGATCTATAACCTATGGCTTCTCCACGGGCGCTGGGGACGAGCGTGGTATTAACCGTTGCCTAATTATAATGTCTGCACAGTAGGTCTGGCGTTGACGCTTGGGATTTTGTTGAAATATATAAAACTTCACGGAGAATTGTCGCCTATGGCTTCTTGTTTAGTTTGGCCATGTTTGTAAATATTAATGATATTTTGTGTGTTTCCTTAAACTACGTAATTCAGCGTTTTGTACAATACATTGTACTATTAGGCTGCAATGTTGTTTTAGTTTTATGTCAATTTGCAGATAAACCATTTATATGTTCCTATGGCCAAAGTAATTGTACTGTCTGCCCTTTATGATAGTAAAACTCTTTCTTACTGTCTAGGAGCTTCCTGTCGGCATGATGGTCGGCATTCCGGTTGGACAAGCGTCCTCGTTACAGGCAACGGTCTTCGACTCGCTCAGTCCGCGTGTGGCGTTGTCTTCAAACAAGCACTGATCACCCATGTGTGCAGGTGCTGGGTTGTCACAGGTTCGGGTTCGGGTCAGGGTACCGCCGCCGCAGGTCACGCTACACGCACTGTCAACCCAGTCCGACCATCCTCCGTGCACCGGGTCAGCCGCTGAAATATGGGGAAGCATGATTTGGTTATATATCATATGATAGTTCTTTATTGACTCGCCATATGTACAGAGACTTTTGTATGGTCTCATACAACTAATTTTGTAAAAATATTGCAACATGTAATCATAAGACGTGGTGGGAACGTACACTCAAATTTTTCAACTTATACTATGCCGCCACCAACACAGCGGACAATATACAATACTCATTTTCACTTGAGATAACAACTAATTTTGGTTTGTAAAATTAAGAACTGAGCCATCCCGTTTCTTAGCGCAGTTTTTTGAGACTGACTGACAGAACTACAACTAAGATCGAACGAAACCAAATACATGAATATGAATGATGAATTAATAAAGTCAGCTTACTTACAGATTCATATGTGGCAAACTACTAGTACTTACAGAATATATGTCAGGGGCAACAGAGGTTTAACTATTCCCTAACATGCAATATTAATCTCGAAGATTTACATATTCTTTTATGTGCATTGTTGAATATGGGTATTGCAAGAAATTCTGGGATGGCTGCATTTTAACCCTTTTTTTATTCCAAAAATTCATTTCATGACTAGACATAGTGACGGCACACTCAAGTTAACATTATACCACCACCAACGCAGAGGACAATGATACAGGACAGGACAATACTCATTTTCACTTGAAATTTAGTGAGGAAAGTCGTGTGAAGTGCAAGGGCACAAGATCGGTGGCATGTCAGGACTCGAACCCACGACCTCTTGGTTCCGAGTCGAGCACTGTATCTGCCGTTAATACGCCCCACGACTCTACATATTCCTTCTTGGCTAGTACAGAGTGAAAGGTAACATGGTACTCACTGCAGGGTGTGTTCACAGACCACCTCCAGTTACTGTTCTCGCAATACATCCGCCTCTCGGCCTCAGGCGGTCCCGAATAGCCGACTGGACAGCTGAAGACGCAGATAGTGCCAAAAGGAATATTGGTCTGTCCGGCGCAGGTGCTAGTTTCGTAGGTCGCTGGTACCGGTGGTGGATTTTCACATGGCCTACCTACAAAATGACAATGGCAACGAAGTTTATTGCATATTCATGCATTAAAAGTGTGAAATTCATGCATTAAAAGTGTGAAATTAAAAATTCGTATTTTGAACTAATATTGAACGCTGATGATAAATGTGTAAATGACAGGACCCGATTCAGGGCATTGCGAGTCTGTACATGCGCTACAAAGAACTGAATAAACCATTATTATTACAACTGCACGAAAAGTTGGATTTTAAATACCAATTCAGTAGCGTTCTGGAAATGTTTACGTTGTAGTAAATAAAAGTCAAGTACGATGATTCCAGACTTACCACTGGTAGTAAATGAAATTGTCGTACTTGACTTTCATTAACTAGCATGGTAAATTCACGATGTTATGAGAACATGATTGTGTAAACGATGTATAGATACATATGTGTATATCGATAACATTACATCTTTGAGCATTTCGTTCTTTGTTGAATGTACCTATCTCTTGTAGATGTTTGGCACTACTTTTGTATCCGGAGGATTACGTATACTAAACCTGTGTGTACCTGTGGGTGTGTGTTCCTGTGCGTGTGTTTGTATGTGTGTGCGTGTGTGTGTGTGTGTATTCCTGTGTGTTCTCGGTATGTGTGTGTGTGTGTGTGTGTGTATTCTTGTGTGTATGTGTTCTCGGTGTGTGCGTGTGTGTGTGTGTGTAATTCCTGTGTGTTCTCGGTGTGTGTGTGTGTGTGTGTGTGTATTCTTGTGTGTGTGTGTGTTCTCGGTGTGTGTGTGTGTGTGTGTGTTCCTGTGTGTGTGTGTTCTTGTGTGTGTATGTGTGTGTGTTCCTTTGTGTGTGTTCTCGGTGTGTGTGTATGTGTGTGTGTGTG